ACAAGAATTATTAAAATAAAAAAATTTATTAATTAATATAAAAAGAGTTTTTAAAAGAGTTTATATTAAACTTTAATACAAATTACCTATTTATTTATTTATTACAAGTTTTTTAATTAAATAAAATCTAATTTACCTAATAAAACCAATCACATTCTATATAAAACTCTTATTTTTAGTTTTTTTTTTTATGGATAATTATAGTTTTTATAAAAATCTAAAAATTATGTAATAAAATCAATCATATTCTATATAAAACTCTTATTTTTAGTTTTTTTTTTTATGAATAATAATAGTTTTTATAAAAATCTAAAAATTATCTAATAAAATCAATCATATTCTATATAAAACTCTTATTTTTTATGAATAATTATCACAATATAACCGGCCCGGCCCAGTTATGATTATGTCATTATCAAAAAAGAACACATGTCATTATCCTATTCATCCAAGAAGCCTATAAATAAAGGCATGGAGGAAGGAGGAAGGGGTACAGAAATTGAGAATTCTAGAAATCTAGAATTTCAGAGTAAAATACAGAAGTTCTGCGAAAAAGTTTCAGTATTTATTTATTTATGTAAAAAAATATTTATTAATTGATATAAAAAGAGTTGAATTCCAGAGTAAAAAACAGAAGCTCTGTCAAAGAGTTTGAGTATTTCAATATTTATTTATTTATATAAAAAAATATTTATTAATTGATATAAAAAGAGTTTTTATCTATATTATTATTAGATGTGTAAAGAGTTTCAATATTTATTTATGTATGTAAAAAAATATTTATTAAATAATATGATAAAACACTAAAATCTACATAAAAAAATTTAAATTAACCTATTTATATCTATTTATTATTCTCAATTTTTTAATAAAATAAATCTAATTAGACAAGAATTATTTATATAAAAAATATTAATTAATTGATATATAAAAGAAAATAATTTTTATATAACTCTACTATGAGTTTCTTAACAAAATTAAATATAATTAGACAAGTATATATTTATAGAAAATAAAATAATTTCTATAAAACTCTATTACAAATTACCTATTTTTATTTTCCATAAAACTCTATCAACAGTGTTTCTATAAAATTCTAACACAAATTACTTGTTTATCTATTTATTATGAGTTTTTTTAATAAAAAGAAACCTAATTAAACAAGTATTATTAATATAAAAAATTATTTATTAACTGATACAAAAAGAGGTTTTAAAAGAGTTTTTAAAAAACTCTAACACAAATTACCTATTTATTTATTTATTATTAGTTTTTTAATGAAACTAAATGTAATTAGACAATAATTATTAAAATAAAAAATATTTATTAATTGATATAAAATAGTTTTTATTAAACTCTAGCACAAACTACCTATTTATTTATTATAAGTTTTTTAATAAAAGAAAATCTAAGTAGACAAGAATTATTAATATAAAAATTATTTTTAATTGATATAAAAAATAAAATAATTTTTCTAAAATTCTACCACAAATTACATTTTATTATGAGTTTTTTTTTTTATAATAAAAGCTAATCTAATTAGATAGGAATTATTAAAATATAAAAATATTTATTAATTCATGTAAAAAGAGTTTTAAAATATTTTCTATAATACTCTAACGCGTATTACAAATTACAATTTTTTAATAAAAGAAAATATAATTTTTAGAGTAAAATACAGAAGATCTACCAAAGTGTTTCAGTATTTATTTAATTATATAATAAAATATTTATTAATTAATATAAAAAAAGATTTTATCTATACTACTATTAAATGTGCAAAGAGTTTCAGTATTTAAGTATCTATTTATAAAAAAATATATTTATTAATTGGTATGAAAAGTAATTTTTTTTTTTTTTTTAAAAAAAAAAAACTCTATTAAACTCCAAAATCTATCTAATAAAATTTAAATTAACCTATTTATCTATTTATTAGTATGAATTTTTTAATAAAAGAAAATTGAATTAGACAAGAATTATTGATATAAAAAATACTTATTAATTGATATATAAAATGAAATAATTTTTCTAAAACTCTACCATAAATTAACTTTTATTATGAGTTTCTTAATAAAATTAAATTTAATTAGATAAGGATATATTTCAAGAAAATAAAATATTAAATGTGCAAAGAGTTTCAGTATTTTAATATTTATTTATTTATATAAAAAATATTTATTAACTAATATGAAAAGAGTTTTTATAAAATAAAAAAAAAGAAAAAAAAAAACTCTATAAAACTCTAAAATCTACCTAATAAAATTTAAATTAACCTATTTATCTATTTATTTTTATGAATTTTTTAATAAAAGTAAATCTAAAGTTTCAGTATTTATTTATTTATATAAAAACAATATTTATTAATTGATATGAAAAGAGTTTTTATAGGAAAAAACTTCGATAAAACTCTAAAATCTACCTAATAAAATTCAAATTAACCTATTTATTATTTTAAATTTTTTAATAAAAGAAAACCTAAATTTCTGAGTAAAATACAGAAGTTGTGCCAAGGTGTTTTAGTATTTATTTATTTATATAAAAAAATATTTATTAATTGATATAAAAAAAGTTTTTATCTATAGTATTATTACGTGTGCAAAGAGTTTCAGTATTTAACTATCTATTTTTATAAAAAAAATATTTATTAATTGATATGCAAAGAGTTTTTATAAAAAAAAAAAAAGAAAAAAATGTCAATCAAACTCTAAAATCTATCTAATAAAATTTAAGTTAGTCTATTTATCTCTTTATTAATATTTTAATAAAAGAAAATCTAATTAGACTAGAATTATTAATATAGAAATTATTTATTAATTGATATATAAAATAAAATAATTTTTTTAAACTCTACCAGAAATTAACTTTTAATATGAGTTTTTTTAATAAAATGCTGGATTATGAGGTATACTATACTGCTAAAAGGAAGAAGGATATATTTGAAGAAAATAAAATAATTTTTATAAAACTGTATCACAAATCACAAATTTTATTTTCAATAAAACTCTATCACAATAGACAAAAATATAATATTTAATGAGTTTCTATAAAATTTTAACTCAAATTTTCTATTTATATATTTATTAACAGTTTTTTAATAAAAGGATATCTAATTAGACAAGTATTATTAATATAAATAATTATTTATTAATTGATCTAAAAAGAGTTTTTAAAAAAGTTTCCATAAAACTATATCACAAATTACCTATTTATCTATTTATTATGAGTTTTTTTAATAAAAGAAAATCTAATTAGATAAGCATTATTAAGATAAAAAAATATTTATTAATTAATATAAAAAGAGATTTGAAAGAGTTTCTATAAAACTCTAACACAAATTACCTATTTATCTATTTATTATGAGTTTTTTAATAAAAGGAAATCTAATTAGACAAGAATTATTAATATAAAAAAATATTTATTAATTAATATAAATAGTTTTTTTTAAAGAATTTCTATTAAACTGTAACACAAATTACCTATTTATTTATTTATTATAAATAGATTTCTAGAAAATATATTAATTTCTATAAAACTCTACCACAAATTATCTATTTTATTTTCTTTAAAACTCTATCACATATAACTTGTTTTTATCTATTTATTGTGAGTTTTTTTATGAAAGAAATCTAATTAGACAACGATATATTTAAAGAAAATAAATTATTTTTTTAAAAGAGTTTATATAAAATTGTAATAAAAATTACCTATTTATGTATTTATTATGAATTTTTTAATAAAATATAATATAACTAGACAAGAATTATTAATATAAAAATATTTAATAATTGGTATAAAAAATAAAATAATTTTTCTAAAACTCTACCACAAATTATCTTTTATTATGAGTTTTTTAATTAAAAAAAAAATCTAATTAGACAAGGATATATATATTTAAAGAAAATAAATAATTTATATAAAATTCTATCACAAATTACCTATTTATTTGCAATGAAATTCTATCACATTAGATACGTATAAATTTAAATAGTTTTTATAAACTCTAACACAAATTACCAAAACTTTACCACAAATTAAGTATTTTATTTTCTTTAAAACTTTATCACATATAACTTGTATTTATCTATTTATTATGAGTTTTCTAATAAAAAAAATCTAATTAAATAAGGATATATTTAAAGAAAATAAAACAATTTCTATAACTCTATCACATTAGACAATGATATATTTAAAGAAAATATATAATAATATAATAATACATATAAATAAGATATAAATGTTAAAGAATTTGAACATTTCAGTATTTATTTTTTAATATAAAAAATATTTATTAATTAATACAAAAAGAGAACTCTATTATATATAAATATATAACCCTTGTATTTATCTATTTTTTATGAGTTTTTTAATAAAAGAAAATCTAATTTTACAAAGATATATCTAAATAAAATAAAATAATTTCTATAAAATTATACCACAAATTACATATTTAAAGAAAATAAAATATAACCTAGGGTCTTCCAAAAATCACAAACTCCATATAATAAATTTTTATATCAATTTCAATCTAATGTATAATTAGTATAATTGAATTTCTATTTTAAAAATTAATATGATTGAATTTCTATTGTAAATTAAAAATTATACTAAATTTCAAATTATCTAATAAAATTCAAATTACAAATTACCTAAAAAAATTTGTTACTTTGCAAAACTCAAATATTTCACTATTTAAATAAAAAATTATTATTTAATAAAAAATAAAATATACATATTTCAGTATTAATATAAAAACATAAAAGAATTTATTAATTTACGAAACTTAAACTCTATCACCAATTTCAAAATATTTCAGTATTTATTTATTAATATAAAATAAATTTTTATTAATTAATATGAAAACAAAAATTTTATAAGTTACAAAATATTTTCTAATATGTATATAAACACACACATATATATATATATATATACAAGGAATGGATCTGGAAAAACATTAGGGCAAATTTTTGAATAGAGGTGGTGGTGATGTTGTAGTGGCGCATGCTCACAGCCGAAGTCGCAACCAGCCTATGGCCGTGAGTCAACCATGGCCGAATCAGCCCATCCTGGTTTAGTCCACCTTGCTTTCCGGTCCTCTCCATCATCTGATGCTACAACAAAACAGTGGTGTGGCAGCAAAATTTTAACAGCATTTTAAAAAAAATGCTGCTATTGCTATTGTAGAAACATGGGCCCATTTTTTTTTTTTTTTTCATTTTTTTTTTTTTTTGTCCATGGTTCCCTTTCTCTCTCTACCCCCACTCCTAATAGCCGATCACTTTCTCTCTCTACCCCCGCTCCCCTCTCTCCCTCTCTCTCTCTCTCTCTCTCTCTCTCTCTCTCTCTCTTACTTCTCATCTACTCTCTCTCTCACACACACAAGTTAAACCTTGTGTATTGGGGATGGTGATGGTGATGGATCCGTAGAAATGAATCGGAGTTTGAAGGAATATCTGATCGGAGGGAGGTCGCAGCACCGGCGAGGTCTTAATCTCAACGGAGTGTCCGAGGATACGGACAAGAACTTGGATCTTTTCTCTAGGAATCGCCGGAGTCTCTCCGTTGCTTCGTCCGACGAATCGGACGGTACGATTCCTCTTCATATGCACCGCATTATCCTTCTCTTTGAATCTCACTACTCCTTATTTACTTGTGGACTGTGATATTTCATTCAAAGCTGTATGATTTAGTTTAATGCACAGTTAATTTTGATCTGATTCTGTTCAATCAGCTAATTAATCCCTTCACAACTTGTTCATAATTTAATTCATACATGTTCAATTATTGGGATTTTATGAAGCCAGAGCGTTTTGGTTTCAGTGTTAATTTACTTTTCATTACCTAATTGCAGTTTCAATGAAATTGGGGAGACTTTCAGTTGGATCAGCGAAACCGTCGAGGAATGGGATAGATGATATATTGTCATCAACTGACGAAGGGAAGCACGACTACGATCGATAAATTTTGAATATTTTCCTTCATTGAATTGATTTATATGTACGTTATTCAACTTCAGATATAGCCTCTTTGTATAGTGGTGTTAGGTGGAGTTAAATCAATGGATTTAATACAAATTATGAATCCACCTTTTACAATGTTGTCTCGTTGTTCTATATGTTGATGATTTAGTAAAACTCAATTGGCATGATAAATTTCTCAAATTTCTAAGGCCTACATGTTTTTTTTTTTTTTGTTTTTTGGTTTTTTTTTTTATACTAATGCTAGTATTTTTCTGATTTTTATATGGATGGGTTGAGGATCATCTCTAATCATGCATTTTGGTATGCCTCTTTAATGCTCATTTTCTCTCTCCCAAAAAATTATCAAAAGCAAAAAAAAAAAAATTCTCTCAGAGAAATTTCCCAAACACTGTCTTCACTCTTACCTTCTCCTTGAACCGTAATTTTAACAAAACAAAAAATGGTTTCTTATCTTTGGGATAGATAGAATCCCCTTTTTCATCATATTCAATTTAATTTAAATTATAATTGATTATATTTCTGAAGAAAAACACCATTATACATTACACTATCACAAAAAAAAATTATGTACTTAAATGTGCAAGACATGTCTATGCATCAGTATTCAAGTTTTGGACACAATTTATGACCTGGGTTTCACACATACACCACCCCTGGACATTTCTGCTTTAGCCTAATGTTCAGGGTGTCTCATAGAGCATTGGTTTGGTGCCTTTATTTTCATTCTCCCATGCATCTTCAAAAATTGTTCAAACCTAGTGAGTTCCTTTTACTCGATGTTAACCTCTACCAAATTGAGGTCAAGTTTGCACATTTTTTTAGTATGAAGTCACTTCTAATTAATGATTTTGGAGTTGAAGTTCAACCTAGTGTTATGATTATTAATCATATTAAACGCACAAAATTTTTAATCCAACTTGCTAAAATACAAGATAAAAAAAGAAATTCATTTTGCTGCCATGTTAGAAACTTGACATCTCAGCCTAAGAAAGGAAGGAAAGAAAAATAATAATAATAATAATAAAAAAAGAAACTTAACATTTCTGTACAGCATTAATTGCAGTGTGGTGAAATTTGAATTAAAATTGTATTATAGATTGTTGTGTGTTTCTGATTGTACCCATTAATGTTTCTAGGCTTTTCACTCCTCCTTAAATCCCAGTTTTTCCTTCATCGGATGGAAATGAGTCTAAAGTCTAAACCAGCCCCAGAAGCTCCAAGAAGGTCTTCCACGGTTAAACCAGACTCTACAGCTAAGACTTCAAGGGTACGTTTTCTATGTTCTGTTGTTTTAGCTATTGAAATTATCAACCAATTAAATACATAAAGTGACTGTCTTTCTCACCTACGTTTTAGTTAGAAAAGTTTTTGAATTTTTAGGTGTTCAGAGCTCACTTGAAATTTTACCCCATTTTATTTAGAACTTATTTTTTAAGCGAGATCCAGATTACCTTATCAAACGCACTTAATTGGATAATCACTTAATTTAAATTTGGTGAATTGGTATTTAAATTTGGTGAATTGGTGTCTCTCATGATTATAATTTTTATAAAGTTAAATGTAGCAAATTATGAAGAAAATTGAAAATGGTCTAATGATTCCATCAAATGTTTATGACTTTATGTTCCACTGATTTGGTGTATCAGCCTTATAATTGTATCCAATGTTTACATTCTTGTGATCTGGGCTGTCAAAATTTTAATGCCTAATAATGAAAGAGTTGGTTCTGAATCATGTTTGTAAAAAACCTAGAGTGATTGCTTCCATTTCAGGGATCTTCTTTTAAGGAACTTGTTAAAATGGTTTTAAAGTATCTTGGGTTGCAGATCTCTAATATGATGTTTGCTGGGAAATTGTCAACCCAGTCCATGCTAGTCCTGAGTTTTCCAGTGTAAGAAGCACCCTAAGTTAATCGAACTCTTCGGCACATCAGAATCTGAATTTTCCAGTGTAAGAAGCACCCTAAGTTTCATTTTTGTCATCTATTGTTCTGCACTATATTTTTTTTTGACTCTCTTATCATGTTTTATTGTCAAATTTGATCTGTAGGTCTCTACATCCATGAAGGACCTGTGTCATGATGTTTTTGGGATATCAAAGGAAAAGAAAGATCCAAGAGCTGTGAAAGGGAACCGAGGTATGACTTGCTTTGGTTTTCTTTAAGCTTACAACCCCCATATGCATATTCGAGTGCTCATTCATGTGATTTAGTATTGATTATTACCTCTTTATAGTGTTTTTGGAAAAACTTAGACCTCATTTTCATCAATTCCTTCTGAAACTTGGCACTTGTACACAGAATTGCTAGATGCATTGCCTGAGAAAAGAACATTTGAGGATGGTGGTTATTTGTCTGATGATGCCAAAGAGGTACTTCACAAGCACATCTTTAATCTTGATTCCTTTTATTTATTTGCTATCTCAAATCGTTCTAATTGCAGCATTGCTGAAAAAATCAGGTTGATTCAGAGCAGTTTGAAAAGATCCTAAAGTGTATAAGATCTGGGATCGATAGTGGAGTTACCCTTGAGACTGGAGGTGAGAGATTTGGTACCAAGGGCTACTATATCGCGCCCACGGTTTTCTTTAATGTTCAGGTATATCTCCTTGCTCCATAAATAGTTTGTAAGATTACCTTTCCACTGTGGAGGTCAATGTATCATCGAAACTAATATAATTGTAACTTAAATCAGGACAATATGTCTATTTCAAACGAGGAGATCTTTGGTCCCGTGCAATCTTTCTTAAAATACAAGTGAGTCACGAAAAATTCTTTGTATTGCCTATTATTGGAGTGTTTGTGCTTCTTCACCTTCACCATTTTATTTGTTGGTGGATTGCAGGGATCTTAATGATGTGATACGAAGGGCAAATGCGTCTCGTGTATGGGCTGGCTGCAGGGGTATTTACTCAGAACCTCAGCACCTCAGCACCGCCAACACCTTGATGCGTGGCTCATTCTGTTACTTTTGTGATCTGATTGTTTCCTTCTTCTATTTGGGACTTATTTGATGCATAATTGTTGCTTGTATTAATTCGAATACTAGTTATTGGTTTCTAATACGTTATATGTTTTATTTCAGGTTGCTCGTAGAGAAGGATGATACTTGGAGGATATATATGGAGTCTCTCCCCATTTTTTTTCTTTTTCTTTTTTTAAATGATTTGATGAGACATTAAAAATCTTTTATTTCCCTTGTTATTGAGACATAGCTACACTAATAAATGCATTGTAATCCCTTTTTTCTTTCCTTGACTTTGTTGTGAATTGAGTTTATTTGATCAATAAATTTGGTTTATGAATGGATTGACGTGGATTATTAGAATTTGAATTTAACTTAAATTTGCTTCATTTTTTTTTATAAAAAAAGTGTCATTTTTTGCAACATTTATATTTGCTGTCATATGTTTTTCATATGTGGTAGCAGATACAATTGCTGCCATTCCTATCGTGACACAAGTTATGACAGCAAATACAAACGCTACCTATAAATGCGGCCAAGTAGCTATGACATCACTTCTCTTTTTTTTTTACTTCTAGCAGCAAATAAAATTGCCGTTCAAGACCATAATTGTTGTAGTGTGAACTCATCCCCGCTGCCATCGCTTCATCTGAACCGCCACCGAGTTCACCATGACCGAGTTCACCACTGCATTTCTTCCCCACCGCTGCTACCGCCATTTCTTCCTTTTTCTGCACTGTGTGTGGTGTGAATAAAAGGAAGGTTGAGTTAGGGGTTTGGTTGTATTGAGATTAAGGGTAGCAATTCGTGTTCGCAGGTCATAATAATGTCATGTCGATATAAGGGTATTATATTAAATAGGTAAATCCATACCCAACCTATTTAATAATCGTGTCAAGAACTCTCAACACTAACCCAACCCGATTATTAAACAGGTAAACGTGTTAACCCGTTTAATGACCTGTTTATCAAAATGAGACGTTTAATATTTAATCAAATACTAAATAATAGAAAAAAAATTGTCATAATTAACCCAATTATTCAAAATAAAAATAAAAATCATAAGGCATAAACAAGGTTTATGTTGAAATGACTTAACTATCCATAATAATTGGGTTTAAACAGATAACATATTACATAGGTCATATTTATGATTATAACATGTTGAGTTAAATAGGTCATAAACGAATTACACAGGTTGAACTCGTCAATCCTAACCCGACACAGTTAAGTGAACGGGTTAATCGTGTCGACCCTTTTATAACACAAACTCGTTTATGTCAAACCCAAACCCTTTTAACTCGTGTCGTGTCGTAATTTACCACTCCTAATTGAAAATATAAGAAACTGCATCGTTTTATTAGAAGGACAACTCTGTCTTTTTTCTTTTCATGTGGCTTTAATGGGCAAATTGTAACAAATTCATAATCCAGGGGGGTTTCTTGTAGTTCAGGGGGGTTAGTTACAAAACCCCTATACATTTTCATCTCAAACACCTACCCATAAAAGTCGCCACCATCTCTTAGCACTACTACCATTACCACCACCACTTTCATCTCTTCATTTTTTCTTATGTATACATATATTACACATATACACACATATACACACACAATTACAATCCAATCTACTTTGCCCCTAACCTTCCCCAAATTAATCACAAAAATTCCGTCCAAACTAGTTTTAATGCTCAAACATTGTTAAGCTTTGGAAGAAGAGCAAGAAGAGCATAGTCAATCCATGTATCCTGAAACTCGCGCATGATACAATCGCCGCCGGTGATGGCCCGAGCAAGGCGTTGGACTACACACTCCGAGCTTCGAATTTGTTCAATTTGTGCGTTGTCAATGGCAAGCCGAAACTAACGATAAACCACATCTCACCTAACCCAAAATCTTAGACCATTCATTGAACATGAGAAAGATAGAGAGGAGAAAGAGTATGTAGAAGGGCAACAACGTCCTTTTAGATTTTGATATTTTATGATTAAAACACAATAAAATATTCATGGGCAATCTTGACTTTTCCAACCTTTTAAGGGCATGTTTGGATCAAAATTAAGATTGGGGTGTCATTGTTTAAAAATAAATCAACTTGTATATGGCTGTCATTATGACAAACTTCAGAAGATTTCATTCTACTTAATCCTTAAATTTTAATAAGTGAATGTAATATTGTGAAGAGAGTCCACTTTGAAGGCATTGCTTGGCAGTTAGCTCCCCTTCACCAACTAGACAATAATGAGGTTGAGTCTATTGGACGGGATATGTAAAATAATTTGTCGAAAGTTGATAAATAAATTATTTTTATTAAATTTTAATATTTTTTTTCTTCGTAAATATTTTACGATAACCAAATACCAAAAAATAAAAAATAAAAATATTTTCTAAAAAATATTTTAAGTCCAAACAAACGAAACCAAAATGTTTCATGCATTTTTTATTGTGCGCCGTGAAATGTTCAGATGGTATGATTTTTTTCTCATTAAAAAAAAAAAAATAGTATTCTAGTCCTACTAAAAACAATACCGTAAGATTTGTTTGTTGATTTAACTTTGGGGAATTTTTTATTTTTATTTTTTGCCCGGGAGAGTCGGTAGGTAGTATATGAGTCGTCCAAATTTTAGCGACCAACTTGGGTTGAGTCAACTTTTAAATGGGCCTACTCTGAAAATTTCAGCTGGCCTTTGAACACTGTCGTGAGGTTGGGCTTAAAGACAAAAACAAAAAGACTTTTGAAAAGTCATAGTCAAGGTCTTTGGGCCTTGCGTTGGGTATACGTACAAGATCTGTCCCATTGTGGCCCCAGACGCAAGAACCATTGTGCAAATCCCATCAAACCACTTTGAAATTGCATGCTCTCTCTATCTCTATGTGTAATATATAGACAATCATATTGTATTATTGTGCTATGCTTTTGGCATATTGTATATTCCAAGCTGTAAGGAACCGTCTGATCTAGAACCAAAGGCTGAGATTGAACTGTCCCAACAAATTAATTTATATATAAATAGAATAATTTTCATTTTCTAAAATAGAAAAACTACTATGAGAGTGCTGTTGAGTCCCAAAGAATGATACGTGGAAGAGTCGGTGGTTTTTAGAAGTGACAAAAGTTATAACGACTCGAATACGATACGAGTTAAACATGTTCGGATTGTAAACGGGTCGACACGATTAACTAGTATAATTAATCGCGTCGTATTTGAGTTGAGAGTTTCAACCTGTGTAACCCGTTTATACACGTTTAACAATATATGTCGTAAATAAATTTCTATATAAGTTCTAAAATTACTATATAAACTTGTGTTTTATAATTTAATATTTTGTAAACTAGAAATTATTTAATAATTTGGTTGATTTAAAATTTATATATTTTTTAGTATTTATAGATTTATTGAGTATTATTAATAATTTAAATAATATATATATATATATATATATATATATATATATATATATATTTGTAAACAGGTCATTATGTTTAATAAACAGGTCATGTTAGTATTGAGAGTTCCAGACACGATTATTAAACGAATCGTGTTCAGATTTAGCTGTTTAGTATAATATTCTTAAATTAACACGACACGATTATTACATGCGAATAAGAATCAACAACCCAGTAATTTTTGTAATGTAAAAACTAAGGACCAAATCCATTTAAGCAAAACACAGCCAGCCTGTTAAGGGCTCTCTGTTTGAAACCTCCATTTTTCAACTTTAGCGTAATCGGATGTTTAATGTGTGTGTCTCTAAGCTTAAACACGCGTTTGAATTCAAAGATTTAGTACATAGTCACCTACCCAAAGAATTCATTCAGTCTTTAATAGTTGCGACTTTGACATTGTTAGGCAAATTTTGATTCCTTTTAACATTTTGAGATTTTGTACTATCTCAATCATCTTTTTTTAATACAGTATAATTAATATATATATATATTGTACTTGAGACTGCCGTCATTACGTCAGTATTCAATTTGATTCTAACCTATCTTGGTTTCAGCACTGAAAGTAGATAATCCAATTTGGTGTTACTGCCCCTTTATTACGAACAAAGCCAAAGTTAAAATATGTGGAGAATCTAACCCTGTTTTTTTTTTTTTTTTTTTTTTTTTTTTTTCAAATGTTAACCAGAAATACATTCACAGGCCAATTTTATTTTATTCTTATGAAAACTTAAACCCTTAAAATTTTTCTTTAAAGAGTAAATAAGTTATGTTTTTATAGCTTTTGCACACATTCAGCTCAACCTATATAAAAATGATATCGGGCCTATGTGTATACTTTGCATTACGAGCTTGCCATTAACTTCCCAATTTTACACTTTTAAGTGATTGAAGGTAGTAGTTTAACAGATTGATTAAATTCAGTTTATGTTTTTGTATGAAATTATTACATATTGATTAAATTCAGTTTATGTTTTTGTATGAAATTATTACATATAAATGGTGTTAATGATTCATATTTATCAATTAAAGGAGTCGGAGTCTCATAATTATAAAGTTAAACAAAATGTTTACGTGAACATAAAAAAAAAATGTTTATTTGAGATACCACTTTTAGATACATAGGTATCATTTTTTGTGCATGGAAGTACAATTTTTTGTGCATCAGGCACTACTTTTGTTTTGGGTATAGAGATACTACTTTTTATTCACATAGGCACCACTTTTTATGCATCAAATATCACTTTTTTGTACAACATAAAAAGTGATACTTAATGACAAAAAATGATACATGTATGCACAAAAAGCAATACCTATGTGCCAAAAGTGGTACCTCAGTGAGAATAAAAAGTGTTTTTTCATATCTTTAATTTTTTTTTTTAAATTATGAGAATGATAAATATAGATCTTTAATACTATTTATATATAATAATATCTTTTTGTATTGCCCACGGGATCAAAATTAAATAGATGATAGTCCTTTATATTCAACAGCTTAGTAGGTAAAACTAATGAGGATGGGAACTGAGGAGGCCCGAAGTGACATGGGCAGGATATGACCCGCAAACACGACATCTGGTCCGTGCAGATGGGTCAAACCCATAGAGAGACACTGCCATATGGGCCGAACGCGAATAACCCATCAAAGATGACCAAAACTCACAGAGGAACGGACCTAGATCTAGCAGTCCATTAATGTTTGTAAGTATCTATAAATAGGAGAAGTAATGGATAGAGGAAGGGGATATTTTTCTGTTGAAGTGTAAGAGTTCTAGAGAGAGAAAGAAAAAACGAATTTCTTGCATCTTCAATTGGCGCCGTCTGTGGGAAACGTTGAAGATTGA